ACATAGTTGAATTATTTTATCATGCTGTTGCTGGGGGATATGACTAACACTTTTGAAGCTACTAATTTTATGTCGAGCTTTAAAGTCCATAATTGTTATCTTCGGAAAATATTATTTGACCTACAGTATGTCCAAATCAATTTAATAAAATCACTTTATAACAGGGTTCTGTGCTTGACACGTGGTTGTGTGAATTCAGTGGTCGTGTGTTTTGTGTGTGTGAGGGGGAGGGGGAGAGAGAGCGCGCAATTGGGGATGGCTTGTGTATTACTGGGTATTATGCCTAGGGTGACCATATGATTTACTGCCCAAACTGGGCACTTAAGAGTATAGGGGGTGCTGTTAATGAGGACCACAGGCCTGAACTGGGACTGTCCCAGCAAATCAAGTTGTGAGGACACCATGGCCCAAGCAAGTAACAAATGACTGAATTGCATCCGGAGTAATTCAGAGAGGAGGTGCAAGGTCTGTGGCAAACTGGAAAAAGCATGCCTTTCTGAAGGGATGGCCCCTGCTTGCCTGTAGCTGTTTATTTCCATGCTAGAATATAGGCCAAAGGTTCCCACATGCTCTGCTCTTTTAAGAGAAAACCAGCAAGCTGAATTTTTAGATAAAATTTAATGTTTTAAAATGTTTTAGATAAAACATGAGTTTTGAATGTCGGGAACAAATTCCTGGTCCCTGTGTGACCCGTGTTGGTCATTTGTATCACCTGCCTAGTGCCCACAGGCTTTTGTTTAACTTTGTGAAGCCCTGCTCTGGTCCCTGAAGGCTGCGGCCGACTCCTGCTGTGGTGGGACAGAAGTCCCAGGGGAAGCCATGCTGGCCCGTGCTCCGTGCCACAGGCTTTGGACGGTGCTTCTGGTGTCTGCTGGCTTTGAGGGGACAGTCTGCGTCCCACTCCGACTGTCAGAGGGAAAGCCGCCCAAACTGGCCTTTTGACGTGAGAGGGTTTGGGAAGAGAGGTCACACGTGGGCTCAAGTGTCGCTCGCGGAGTCACTTTTGGCTCCTACTAAGATTTCGGATGTGAGAAAGAAGTCATGGCCGACTTCACAGCCCACTGACTTGGGGACCCCTGAATAAGTGGCGAGTTGCTCCTTTAAGAACTGTATCGAGTCGGAGATCCCCAGACATCCAGATGGTCTGCTGTAGAAGACACGGGTGCCCGGCCACCTCGAGGAAGTTGTCGGATTCTTTTGGGTCGTGTGAGCTTGAGCATGATGCTTTCTGAGGGATTTCCCAACACTTGGCTCTGTTATCCTAAAGAATGTTGAATCGTGAAACAGTGTTTCTGTCCAACTCGCTGTTCTCAGGAATTTGAAAAGCCAGGTGAATGGGAAGCAGATATCAGAAGCACTTGGAAAAAGTACTCAGTGGTGAGATCAAACCCCGAGGGGAGAGATGAGGAAGAGGCGGGCACCACCACAGGCAGGAGCCAAACATAAATAGCGTCGCTGAGTTAAGATCGAGACCGCAAGAGATAGGAAAACTGAGCGTGGCAGAGCTCTTCCTCCGTGACCTTATGTAGCTCAACGTCTCCGAACCTCCGGTTTCTCACTGTAAGATGGTTTTGAAAATACCGAAATCCCGAAATAGTTGGGAGGACTAAATAAGCATGTATAAAGTGCCTAGCATTTCGTAATACGGCAGGAGAAAAGTAGTCCCACTCGTCTGTTCGGGAAGAGGAGTCATGTTCTTGGGGCTCCTCTGTTCTGCTGAGGCCCACTGTGATGGGTTTGGGCATCTAAATGTGGGGTAGGACCTGGAGAAGGTAGGCGGGACAACTGGCCTCTCCCAGGATAGCCCGGGACAAGAAAGTAAGAGAAGAACTGGAAAGGTAGTGGGAGAGGGACCCAGGTGAGCAGGGTGGTGGAGGGTTGCGCGCCTTCATGGGTGAACCCTTACGGCCACAGACTCCTTCCTTGAAGTCTGGGGATGCTTGGTCCACGTGGAACTCCTCGTGGAAACCGTGGAAGGACTGTGTGCTGGGTCCCGGCTGGAATGGGACGGACCGTCTGTACGATGGTAAAATACGTGTTTCAGCCAGAAGAGGGCAGCTGTGAGACCGTGAGCTCCAAGCTTCCACAGGCCCCATTTCCCCAAACCCCTAAGGGGCAGGGAGGCCTGTGGGTGTCTTTGTGACCACTCCTAGTGTACGGAGTTAGAGCACTTTTCAGATCGTAAGTAAATGAAAACCTTCTTTAAATCATCCCATGTTAGGCACATGAGCACATCCAAAGATCCCAGGGCCTCGGG